AACCCGAGCTAAGCCCCCCAAACCCTAACCCCTTAATGGGACTTTCCGGCAGACCCGGCGATCTTGATCCTCGGTGGTCTCGTCCGCCAAGGCAGCGTCCTGAAGGCAGGGAGGCAAAAGAAAGTCGGTTCAAAAGGACTGGGTCTATGGCTCTCTTTTATAGGTCATGGGATTGCCAATTCAGTCCAGTCTACCTGTTTCGTTTGAAGGAGCTGCGGGGATGTTTCGGGGTGGTGCCGCATTTTGTTTCCGGAGTTGCGCCAGGTCGGGTCCTTGCTGGGGTTACCCTTAGCATCTTGTACCCGAGGCCCAATTCAAGACCAAGGTCACCGTAAATTCAAGACCGATCGTGAGTAGGAACCGCGTCGTCACAGTCGTTAGCTTGCATAGCTGTCATTGCTCCTGCAATCCTCCACTTACTGTCGTGTTGAAGCGATAGTTCACAGTCCAGGCGGCATCTGCTCTGGATTCAAGAAAGCCGAAGCTCGAATGCCAACATCGATCACGCTTCCAGTGTTGAAATCTTCTGACTCCCTCCCCCTAACCCTCCTGGTGCCTACTATATAGGGCCCTAGGGGCTCTAGTACCCTATATAGTAGGTACCTGGGGCCCATTGGGGGTGAGGGTACTTCCCAAACAATTGCCAAACAGGCTGCTCGAAGCATAGTCTTAGCTGAAGAGACTCTGCTCTGCAAAGTGCACCTCTGTGGCACATCGTAGACGCTGCAACGCAAAGCGAAGTTCCTGGATGTGAGAGTGTCGACAATGTTTCTGGATAGGTGTTGGCCACAAGGTCTAGCGAAATCTTTTCATACACACCAGCTAGAGCTAATCCCTGCCATCTTTGATGAAGGTTCGCTAGCCATCCGAAGCTGTCCTACCATACTCAAAGCGTAGCGCTATGGCCAAGCGCAGCCGTCATGAAACTGGTCACTTTAACAGCAGTGAACTCACAATGACGGTGAGACAGTGTGATAACCGCAATCATGAATATGCAGAACCTCTGATCAACCAGCAGTAGTAACACCAATCATAGACAAACAGTGGATAACAGTAACAATAAGCTATGACACTATAATGACGCTTTACCAATGTGAGTACCATATACTGATCAACAGCAATAGTTCTGGTACGCATCACCCTGGCGGCCTCGGAGGCTGCAAGCAGCAATGCCTCGGAGAAGTGCTTGGACAGTGAGGTCACAGGATTCTGGGTTTACTTAAAGGATCATGGGGCTTAATAAGTAGGGTTATAACTAGGGTAACTATACTTACAACCCCAATTAGGGGACTTATAACCTCACTTACTAAGTCCCATGATCCGCCAAGTAGGGTTTAGGGTTTAAGGTTTAGGGTCTTGAGGATTCTCTGTACTGCGGCTTTTGGGGCAAGAGCAAGACACCGAATATATAGACCGGAAATAACCGGAACTTTACTAGAATTGCTACAAGGATGTCGAGGGCTGATGAGGGTATTATTCGGGCAGAGAGCTTATGCTGGACAAGTGCAGTCAAGGATTTGAGATTCAGGGGTGAGGACTTATTCTAATGAGCTGCTGCAACCACTTGGGTTTTGACCTGGTGGCTGCGCTGAATTTCACATGTCTCCTCCCTTTCCATGCTGAAACAATGCCTTGTACCTGCCACTCTGCAAGCTACCTCAAGTTTTGAACCTTCGCACTTGCGCCGTCCTCTGCAATTCACCCTAGCACATCGACAGAAAGCAGCAGGTGTCTGTACAAGCGCTGCGTTCATAAACCCAGACCCTCCAACATCCGTGAAATTGAAGGATCCGTTAATGACAAGCAAAGAGTTGATCCGTTAGGGCTAAGGTGTGCCCATTTAAAGGAATACACCTTATCTCAAGCCTTGTCTACTGAAGTCTGCGGGAAGTAAAACCCCAGCATCCTGGAGACGGGAGACTTCTGGACTCGCGGCACAAAGACTGTTGCTGACAAGCCGCATAGCGCTGCTTTCGAAGCTGCTTTTCCTGCGTGCAAGCTTGCTTATGTACATGCATCTCCCTACCTACCTTCATCCACCAATCCAGTTGCACATCTATCCATGTGTGCATGCATGCACGCGCATACACATGCATACATATATACATACATACATACATACATACATACATACATACATACATACATACATGCATGCATCCATACATACATACATACATGCATGCATACATACATAAATACATACATACGACTTACAGACATACATACATACATACATACATATATAAATATATATACATACATACATACATACATACATACATACATACACACACACATACATACATACATACATACATACATACATACATACATACACACATACATATACACATACATACATACATACATACATACATACATACATACATAAAACATACATACATACGTACATACATAAGTACATACATACATACATACATACAAACATACATCCATACATCC